GTAATCTTTTGCATTCCTTGGCTTGTAGATGCCTCACCCTAGTCTCTGCTTCCATTTTCACATGGGGTTCTTCCTGTGTGTGTGCATGTGTGTATGCAGATTTCCCCATTATATAAGGACATAGTCATGCTGGATTTGGGCACACCCTCATGACCTCATCTTAACGTACAGGACGATATTTCTAAATAAGGTCACATTCGTAGGTCTTGGGGGATTAAGACTTCAACATCTTTTAGGGGTGCACACATCAACCCACAAGTTAGAGAACTGGATTTGGCAAAGTGTTCTTGATAAAATCTGGTTTGTTTTTTGCTGCACTGACTCTGTTGTGGCCAGTGTACTTCTCCTGTTGTGATGCAAGGGCTCACTAGTTGAGACGTGTATGGGCTTAGTTGCCCCATGGCATATGGGATCTTAATTCCCCACCCAGGAATGGAGCCTGTGTCCCCTGCATTGGAAGGAGGATTCTTAACCACTGGATCACAAGGAATGTCTCAGTAAGAACTGTTTTAATGAGGGTTGGGATGAAACCCACATTGGAGTAGCTTGAATACAGAATAAGTGCAGAGAAAGTGGAGGCTGTGAGAGCAGACAACTCTTGAGAAATTTTTGCTGCAGTGGTGTAGAAACTTGGAGATGCAAGTTATCTAGGGAGAAGTTATTTGTTATTTCAGATAGATGATATTAAGACATGTTAAATGTGAATGTTCAACTAGTTTAAAAAAAAAAATTATGTGTTATAGGAAAGAGGAGATAAAGGAGGCCAGATTCCTCAAGAAGACATGAAGGCACAGGATCCAAGAGGCTTCTTTGCTTACAATGGGATCAAAAGCAGAGTATGTGGGTCCAGATACAGGAAGATTGGTGGATTTGGTGGTGAAAAAATGAAGTTGTTTATGTTGTTTTATCTGTCTTCTCAGTGAAGTATAAGGTGTGTCCATAAGCTGAGAAGAATGTGTATGGGAATGCTGGAAATTTGAATAAACATTGTGAAACAGTCTCAGTGTAGGAGATGCAAAGCTGCTAAGGAACTATCTAAGGGGACTTCTCTGGCGGCACAGTAGTCAAGATTTTGCACCACTGCAGGGGGGATGGGTTCAATCCCTGGTTGGGAAACTAGAATTCTCCTTGCCTTGGCCAAAAAAATAAAAACGAACTATGTAAGAGTGCCTAGCATGGATGAAATTTGTCATCACAAATAGAAAGTGAGTCAGCATGTTTGAGTGCTTTTCTCAAGCTCGGCAAGACTGTAAGCTCAGAATAAGTGGATAGTTGGGTTTCACTAGGGTTGAAATTTTGCCAGAGAAGAATACTGGAGTAGAAGAGCATGAGAATGAAGCGTCTTTGCATGGGGGTAGTTTTCATACTGGATCATGAGATTCTTAATTGGGTGAGGAAGGAATGAAGGAGGGTGATGAATCACAAAAATGTGGTAACTGCAATGGCTGGGAGGTTTGGCGAGGGCAGTGATAGCAGCTGAATAGGGGTTTCAAGGCAGTGAGCTGGAAAGACAGGAGATGATTTCCAGAGTGTGAGATACTTGAAAAATAATTTTGGAGGTGGTACTGACTGAAAAATGAAGGGAAAAGCTACACACTCTTTACCTTAGACCCTGAAAAATCTTTTAAAATAAATATAACTGAGGTTTAAATTATCTTCAGCCAAACTGCCAGTCAGCTTGCCTGTCTAAAGACTTCTTGTCTTCACCAGCAGGCACACAGCCCTGGCAAGACAGTGCTATCTCTGCAGACAGAGCTGCCTTCCCTCTGCTGCCTGCTTGATAGCGGGCTTCAGGAGGTGGCTCACACTTTATTTTCCTGCCGAGACTGACAAGGCAAAGTCACATATTCTTAAAGTTTTCCAGTACTTTATGATCCCATTGTTTCCCTTTAGAGCAAATTCCAAGGTAAGGAAAGTAAAAATTATATATCCAATGATCAGATGGGGAAGGAAGGCCCATTCAAGATGTTTTAAGGAGTATTTGGGGGGAGGCAAGTGGTGTTAGTGACAAAGCTGAGTGGAATGTAAGAGACTTGGCTGTAAGGAAGATGCTATTATTTTATAGTATTATTACTCTTCCATTCACTCAACAAACATTTATTGGTCAGTGATTATGTGCCAGTCAGCATCCTAGGTCAGTGGTTCCTAAACGTTTTGGTCTCGGGATCCCTTCCTTAAGAATTGGGAAGGACAATTCTTAAGAATTGTTGAGGACCCCAAAGAATTTTGTTTTATGTAAATTATAATTATTGTTTATAATTATTGTTTTAGAACTCAAACCAGAAGATTTTTTAAAATATTTATTAATTAAAAAATATAAACCCATCACATGTTAACATAAATAACAGCAAAAAATTGTTTTCTTGAAAAAATGTCTAGTGAGAAGAGTGGCATCATTCTACATTTTTTCCCAAATATCTTTCATATCTGGCTTACTAGAAGGCATCTGGGATCTCACATCTGCTTTTGCATTCAGTCTGTTGCCAGATCACATATCATGTACCCTCTAGAAGACACATGTGTACTATATATTCATGAGAAAAGAAAAGTTTAAAAGAAAAATCACAGCTTAGTATTATTGTGAAAATAATTTTGGCCTTGAGGACCCTTTGGAAGGGTCTTAAAATGGGATCCTCAGGGGTGCCCAAATCATACCTTGGGAACTACTGTGTGAGGTATTGGTATACAGCCCTCAACAAGCAGAGACCGGCAGGAGAGAACGTTCACAGGGATTTATACAGAGCAGTGTGTTACATGCTCTGATGGAGCACAGCGGTACAGTTCTGACTGCGAAGGTCAGCAGGGACTTTGAGAAGGTGTTGACATTGGAGCTGAACCTTGAAGCATGGAGGTGAGGGCCTTCTTGACTGAGAAACTGAATAGTGGCAGGAAACAAATCCAGTGTTCCTAGAGTATAACCTGCATGAAGGGAAGTTACTGAAGAGAAGGCTAGAAAAATATAGGAAAAGGACAGACTGTACAGAGCCTTTATTCTGCAGATGATGGGGAAAAAAATCTTTAGTGGATACATAACAAATATTAGCTGATGTCTGTGCCTCTAATCTATCTAGGAAAGGCACGATATTAGAAATTTAGTTCACTCACCAATCCACTGAGCTTTGAGTATTTAGTTTGCATACCTAGATCTCTTGTCATTAAACTTACTCCCATTATTAATATATTTTTTCTGAATTGTAAGTGAGCTATTGCTAGAGATATGGATAATAAGATAAAAAGGGATAAACCATAGAAATCGCTGACCTCTTAGTTTCCTAGAAAGAAGTGGCCATTTTTCGAACAGTCTCAACAAAGCAAGAGGAGCAGCTGGCTTCCTCTGGGTTCCTGAAAGACCTTACTGCTGTCTCCAGGGCTCAAACCTGCTACACTCCCTCTGAACAAATACTTGACTTCAGAGGTGTTGATTAAAAAGTTTTATTAGAAATAAACAAATGGACTAAGATCAAACTCACAAGAATCAAATGTAGCAACTCTGATTATAAAGTGAAGTCGCTCAGTCGTGTCCGACTCTGTGCGACCCCATGGACTGTAGCCTGCCATGCTCCTCTGTCCATGGGATTTCCCAGGCAAGAATACTGGGGTGGGTTCGCATTTCCTTCTCCAGGAGAACTTCCTGACCCAGGGATCGAAACCGTGTCTCCCGCATTGCAGTCAGACTCTTTACCCTCTGATACACACAATTTTTTTCAAAGGATAATTCTCTGTGCTTCCTTCTTTGGGTGTTTTATCCCATGGTTCCAGGGGCTCAGGATACAAATACGACTTGAATATGACTTGAAGGGGAAGCAAAGACGAGAGTAAATAGTTCTAGGGGCTCCGTTTCTTTCCTCCTCTGCCTCATTTGAAGAAATTAACAGGGACACCACTTGAGAAACAGTTCACATATTTTTATAAAAGACTTATGTGGGTTAGATGCTGAAAGACCTCAAATCTGGATCCTAGGTAAAGCTAAACCGTTATTTAGAAATCCTAAAACCGAGCGGGCAGGAATGCATTCATTTTTCATTTAAGACTTATTATTCACTCCACATTATTAGTGTTTTTAACACCAGATATATATTTATACATTTCCCAACTTTTACTGGACTTAAATCTTAGGGTGATGATCTACTTAGCAGTGAATAACACTGGAACCGCAGTGTTGTATAAATACATGCAAGTCTAAGACATACGTGTACACTTGGACTCTTGGGTATGTACCAACGCCATTAACAGTTCCAGGGCCCCCTCCACCAGTCTATGCCGCTCCCTTGGGCCCAGAGGGCCGAGGTGCGGGGCGGGAGGGCGGGGGCGGGAGGGGGAGGGCGGGCCGCGGCGGAGGGGCGGTTTCCTAAGCGACCGCTGAGTTGCAAGTGCGCACGCGCGAAGCCTGAATCCGGCTGATGCAACCTCCCGCGCGCAACCGGCTCTACCGAGAGTAAGGAAGCCGACAGGGACCTGGGCGCGGCCAATCGGCGGCCGCAGGAAAGAGCGCGAAGGGCCCGCCCCCGGCCCGGCGAGTGACGTCAGGCGGCGCGGGGCTGGTGGCGTATCCGGCCGCCATCCTTCGTCTAGTCAGCCTGCCTGGAGCGGTCCTGCCGCGGCGCTGGCCCTGCGGCCATTTTGAGCTTCGCTTGCACCCGCTTGCCCTCCCAGACTAGCCCTTCCGGGGTCGCGCTGCTGAGGGGATTCTCCACGGTCCGTGCCTACGAGGAAGCCGCTGCCGCCGCCGCGGAAGGGCTCCTATTTATGGTGGAGCGGCGGGGGCCCGACTAGGACCCCTTCTCGCCGCCAGGATGAATGTCGCCTTGGCCGCCGCGTCCTGTGCCCGCCGTTCCGGACTGTGGCCCGTTGCCCGCGGCCGGAGCCGTTCTCCTTGTTGGCTCTTCTGCTGGCCCGGGGGTCGGCCTGGGGCACCCACCCCGCCGCTGGGGAAGGCCGAGACTGTGTAGGGCCTCGAGCTCCTCGTCCCTGCCTCCATGAGAGACTGCAGACAACAGGAGATGGAGCCGGCGGCGGACGGCTCGCGGGAACCGGACCCCCGCTTCCGGCTGCCCTCCTTCTTCCCTCGGCCCTCGCGACCAGGCACATCGAGGTTCCCCGCACCGCTAGCCCCGGAACCCCACCCCAGGCTGGCTCCCAGCCCCCCGCCCGAGGGCCGGAGTGGCTCCTGGATGCAGCTGCTTTCCCAGCTCCTCGCGCCGCTCCCGGGCTTGCTTCAGAAGCTGCTGGTCTGGAGCCAGCTTTTCGGTGGGATGATCCCCACCAGATGGCTAGACTTTGCTGGAGGCTACGGCCTCCTGAGAGCCCTGAGGGCCCGGGAGGAGCCCGCCGCCCCCTCGGCGCCCAAAGCTCTGAGCTCGCTACGGCTCGACCCCTCGGCCGACTCGGCCGCCGGTCCCCTTGACTGGCTAGAGGGGGGCCTCCACTGGCAGTGCTCGCCCCTAGATCTGGAATTAGAACTTAAAGCCAAGGGAGGAGCTTCGGACACCGCAGCCAATGCTTTTCTTCTGGAGCAGCCGCTGTGGGGAGTGGAGCTGGTGCCCCGGAGCGTCCAAGCGCGTCTGTTTTCCGACCCGGAGCTTGGCCCTTCGCCCTCTGGATCGTTCAGCGTTCAGCGCTTAAGCAATGTCAGTGTCGTCTCCTATTTGCTGAACCCTTCCTATCTGGACTGCCTGCCCCGGGTTGAGCTGAGCTATCAGAGTAGTGTTGGAAGCTGCGAACTGGTCGATTTCCAGCCGCTGAGCCCAGAGAGCGGCTGCCTGGATGAGGCCCCGTCTTATCCCCAACCGCTCAACGCAGAGATGGCTCCCGCCTCGTGGCAGGGATGTCCGCCTCTCTCTAGAGAAGGCCTGCCCGAAATCCACCATCTCCGCATGAAGCGGTTGGAATTCCTTCAGCAGGCCAGCAAGGGTCAGGCTTTACCCACCCCTGACCAAGATCATGGCTACCACAGCCTAGAGGAGGAGCACAGTCTGCTCCGGATGGAGCCGAAGCACTTCGGAGATAGTCCGACTCAGTGTGTTCTTGCTGCTGGAGCTGTTCCCGGAACCGCCCAGGAAACCACTGAGGAGAAAACAGAATTGTTGATTAGAGAAGTTCCTTTTGGATTGGAAAGACAGGGCCTCTCGGGAGGCATTCCATCTTGTGAGACTGGACAGGAGCTTGGAGAGGACCAAATAAGTGTAGTTGACTCTTCAGACATAGACGATGACCTTCCCATTTCTACCAGACCAGCCTGTAGTAACAAGTTGATAGATTACATTTTGGGGGGTGCAGCCAGTGACCTTGAAACAAGTTCTGATTCGGAAGATGAGGATTGGGGCGAAGACGTTGAGGATGACGGTTTTGATAGTGATAGCTCATTCTCAGAATCAGACCTTGAACAAGACTCAGAAGGGCTCCACCTTTGGAACTCTTTCTATAGTGTGGATCCTTATAATCCCCAAAACTTCACGGCAACAATTCAGACTGCTGCCAAAATTCTTCCCGGAAGCCCTTCTGATTCAGAGAAGGATTTGTCTGACAAGTCTGACCTAGGGAATTCTCCCCAGACTGGAAGTCTTCCGGAGTCTCCTGATCATAATTCTGGAGATGATGATGACTGGGAATCTAGTGCAGATGAAGCAGAGAGTCTCAAACTGTGGAATTCTTTTTGTAATTCTGACGACCCCTACAACCTTCTAAATTTTAAGGCTCCTTTTCAAACATCAGGGAAAAATTGGAAAAGCTGTCTTGACTCAGAGAGGGCATCTGAGCCCATTTCTGAGTGTCACACCTTACTTTCCTGTAAGGGGCAGCTGTTAGGGAGCCAAGAAAGTAAATGTCCAGACTTGGTACAGGATGTGTTTCTTTCTGGAGAGAGACACACACATATCCGGAGAAAAAAGGTTTGTTTAACATGCCTGATGATTTGTACTTTCTATTCTGATGTGGAAAAGCGTGAGTTTCCTGGAGCCATAATCGTGCATATTTTTAAGGAAAAATTCCAAGCTCTTATACTTGGGTTGAGAAATGACCACTTCTCCTTTTCCCTCACGTAGTGTGTTGTTCCTGTCTGAATTGAAGGTGCCAGTGTATAGATGTTAGCTCGAGGGTGTTGTTTTCTTTTGGGTTGGCAGCTCTGGTCTGTTTTCCTTCAAATGTCAACTTTTCACTTTTTTTAAGAAACAGAAAAATTAAACTTTGTGTATACATGATTTAATTCTAGAGATTGAGAAGGTCGTATTGTAGCAGTAGAGTTTTGTGGTATTAAATGTGGTGTGTCATTTGCAGACAGTTACTGCTCTAGTTTCAGGATAACTGTTTTCATTCCTGTCTCTTAGAACCCAAAAGGATGATGGTACCAAGTAGCAAGTCATATTTGTCTGGTTGTTTGCCATGAAAGAAAATATTGGTTTCAGTATTAAAAACATCTGGACATTTGGAATTTTGACTGACAAAAATAATACTGAAAACAGTATTACCTTTTCTTAAGATAGCGGTCCAAGGCATCATTGGCCCACGGTAGGTTAATCGTCTGTAACTGTGAAGCTCACTTAGTTGGTTTTCCTGAGTAGTTGTTTCCTATTTCCAGGCTAGTCTTTAAACTTCGTGAGCATTTATTTTACTCTTTCAACACATTATAAAGGTAACCTTATTTGGGGAATCTTGAATTGCCTTTTTTTTTTTTAATTCATCTAAGGTTATTATTAATTGAAGACAAACCCCTGCAAACAGACAGGTTATCTTTTATTGTGGAGCGATTTTCTTTAGTTACCTTACTTTTATTTGGAAAGAGAAAGCCATGGGTGAATTATTGACCTCAAATTCTGCTGCATCAGAGTTTCAAGTGGAAAGAACTGTAATCCATTGGCTCCAAATGACCAGCTTAATACTTTGAAACTCTCCCTAGGGTAGAAAATGTCCCTAAATGGTGGTATTCTTACGTCTTAGCTGTAGAAGCAAAATAAGACATATTAAAAATTAGATTTTAGTTCACAGTTTTGTTAATGCTGTCTTAAACATTTTTCTCTATATTTTTAAAGGGTCCCTGACAAAATGGCCTGTTTAGTGAATAGATAAGAAACAAAGTGAGGCGATGAAGTGAGCACTTGGCATCTGGAGACCTGTGTTCCCTACTCCTGAGTGGTTAGGGCCAACAGATTTAGGAAGATAGCCAGAGCTGGGAAGTAACTTGACTTTTCATGGCTTTGACTGACTGACTTTTAGTAATAACAGTAATAATGGCTATTGTATGAATTATTGCACAATTTAAATGAGGTGAGTAGATAAAACTCATAGTTGCTTTGCCTTTAAATAACTTGTTTAGGGATCTCAGCCCAGCCTCATGTCTCTTTTTAGCTTGCTCACTGAGTGAAAAATGAGATGAGTCAAGTAGATGTTACTATTACTATGCACTAGAAGCAACATTTATAAAAGATTATGTCTGGAGTATGGTAAAGTTATTTACAACCTTTGACTACATCTCATTCTTTAGGTATATGGGAATAATGGATAGTGCCTAATTCTTAGAATGAGGCTTTCAGATCTGGGAATGCTTTATTAAATGGCAAACATGGTGCAGATTGTGGAGCCGGGCTCAGAGTTGGAACCCTGATTGCACCATGGAAGCTGTGTGATTTGAATGAGTCAGTTTACCTTGGTTTCCTTATCTATACAATGAAGATGATAATACATACCTTTTAGGGTATGTATTATTAAGTGAGATTTAAGTGAGATGAAAATTGTTAAGTACTTTGAAAAGAACCGGGCATATGGTAACCACTGTATAAATGTTATTTATCTTGGTGATACAATGAATGAGTAATGCTAGAATGCAATATTTAGTAAGGTGTTACATATCTACTAATTGTCCTCGGGGGTATTCCTTGGCCTGATGTAAAGGGAATGAAAGTAGCAGGCCACAGTGGAATTAGCTGATGTAAGTATTGAATGTACTTTAAAACAAGTTTTGACATTTGGTGTTTGATATCTTAAAAAGAAATTTCTATATTAGAAATTGCTGCTGCTTCTAAGTCACTTCAGTCGTGTCTGACTCTGTGCAACCCCGTAGACGGCAGCCCACCAGGCTCCCCCGTCCCTTGGATTCTCCAGGCAGGAATACTGGAGTGGATTGCCATGTCCTTCTCCAATGCATGAAAGTGAAAAGTGAAAGTGAAGTTGCTCAGTCGTGTCCAACTCTCAGCGACCCCATGGACTGCAGCCCACCAGGCTCCTCCGTCCATGGGATTCTCCAGGCAAGAGTACTGGAGTGGGGTGCCATTGCCTTCTCCATATTAGAAATTGAGTAGAGATTAAAAGGAACTGTCACTCTTAAATGTGATCATGTATATTGCAATAGTCACAGTTGCATGTATATATGGTGATAGCATAATGAAGAATACAAAGAGGGTTTTTATCTTAACTACAACATCTCTTATAGTAACATCACCTTAAAGATATATTTTGTTGCAGTTTGATTACTAAGTAACTTTTTCTTCTGTGTTCTGATTATGAAAGTAATATAAAAAAAGTAATATAAGAATACTACTACATGTTTATGATTCAAGAATTGAAAAATAGTGAAAAGTGACTTTTTTGAAAAAGGAAAAATAGAAGTGAACTTTTGTGCTGTAATAAAAGCATTCAGGAATATATTTCTGAAATACTTCAGAAACATTTGTCATTTTGGAAGAGTATACAAGTTTGTTTGTTTCTTTCTTTACTTCTCTTATATTTGAGATTAAAATTACTCTTTTATCTTTATAGGTAACCTTCCTTGAAGAAGTTACTGAGTATTATATAAGCAGTGATGAGGATCGAAAAGGACCATGGGAAGAATTTGCACGGGATGGATGCAGGTTCCAGAAACGAATTCAAGAAACAGAAGAGGCTATTGGATACTGCTTGACATTTGAGCACAGAGAAAAGATGTTTAATAGACTCCAGCAAACATGTTTCAAAGGACTTAATGTTTTTGAGCAACATTAAGATGATTTGACAGCCTCTGGCCCTAGCATACACTACCTCCTACTTGAGAGGTTACTTTTAAAAACAAAAATTGGCAGCTGTCCTTCAACTTTTTCTTAGAGGATGTGCAGCTTGGATCCAGTGACCTAGTTTAATATTTTTTTGCAACATAGCCCACTCAAAAATGTCCAGGTTTGAAGCCAGGCCCTGAAAATGAAGGATGAGATGGTGTGATTTCTAATCCTCCCTTGTTTGTTTAGTTGGATCTGTTCTAGAATGTTGTTTGCTTGCTGCAGTGAAAAGGGGACCTTTTAAGGTGTAATTTTGCATTTTGGAAACCTATTTTCTTGGGAAACTATTTATAGGGTTCAAAGCCCATTTCCCATTCTAATTTAAATTATGTGCACCTGTCTAAAAACTCTGGGCTCTCCCCACCCCCCCAACATTCTGAAATTACGGGGCTGTTATGTTTTCTGTATATTTTTTTTATTTCAGTAATTTGACCCTTCTATTTCAATGTTAAGAAAAATAATTTTGTATATATGACCAACTTAAAGTACATTATCGTGTCATTTTTTTTTTTTCCCTAAAAATGACTGGTTAAAAATGTGTGGTTGGTTTTTATTTCTAGGTTAAGCTCTATCTAGGAAATGTTTCCAAGGACTGCCACAAAACCTGTATGTGCAGCACTTTCTGCTACTTTGGGGAAGCTGCATATTTCTGCCAAATTTTAACATCCAATATATTTTAAGTTCTTTGTAAACTCTTTTTTGGAGAGGGTTCTATGTATGTTATTGTAATTCCCACTTGAGTGGTTCTTTGTGTCTTCAACAGGTGGAAATTGTTGTTAAAAGACTCCAGAAAGTAATAATTGTGTCATAGTTGCTTTTGAATTTAAAAGCTTAGAATTTTCTTAGGAAGAATAGGAGACATATCAGAGCAATTTGGTTTTGTTGTATATGCTCTCAAAAGAAAACCAGTATTATTAATAACATGCCTCAGCACCGTCACTTTTATAACTTGTCAGGGTGACACTGTAAACTTGGAAATGGGCAGTTCTGAATTTTCCAGTTTGAAATGTAAAATATAGATTTCAGTCAACATCCAAGTTTATTGTGTCCTTTTTTAATAGAGAAGTAATGGCAAGGCCTATAGTTTCAGGAAAGATCTATAGATTTAACAGACTGAAAGTTTTAATCTTTATCCCGAAGCTTACTTTTGAAGTTTCTGCAGTGACTGACTGTGTTTGGTTTAGTTAGCACTACATAATGTGCATATGTTAGGTTGAGGGAATATTAACCAACAACTTACTGGTCTGTTTTTACGTCACATGCCTCCTATTACAAGTAATAGAAAGCACGAACAGAATAGATGACGTCTTAATTTTGAAGTTGTTTCAGAATGAGGACAAGTTTTTGGTCAGAAGTGCTTGCAGGATTACTACCTCAGTTTATAATCTACCTGGTCATTGCTTTATTTCTGTTTGGTTTGCTCTGAGAGGACAGCAGCATAAAAGTTGGTCAGATATTTGCAGAGCTCTTTTTCAGTGTGTTTGTGCCCCTCTATGTTAGGTAATCATGGGGAATGCATTTATAGAGTCTGGTGGAACACCATGGAAATGCTGTTTCAAGCATCAACTGTGTCAGTTGGAAAGAAGGTGTTACTTGCCTTGAAAAGAAAACTGAAAATGTGTAGGCATTCTTTTAAAACGAGACTGAAGTATACTATTTTTTTTCAGAGACTTAGGTTGTGTTTTGGGGTTTTAAATCTTGCATGTCTGCATATATGAAAATAATGGGAAATCTTTACATTTACTAGGCTTCCCTGGTAGCTCAGATGGTAAAGAATCCACCTGCAATGCAGGAGACCTGGGTTTGATCCCTGGGTCAGGAAGATCCCCTGGAGAATGGAATGGTAACCCACTCCAGTATTCTTGCCTGGAGAAGTCCATGGAGAGATGATCTTGGCAGGCTACAGTCAGTCTACGGAGTCTCAAAGAGTTGGACACGACTGAGCGATTACCACTTTACATTTACTGGATTTTGGAGAATTGTTTTCTTGAGATTCCAACCTCAATACTAAATATGTAAAAGCTTGGTGAAGAATTCTTCCATTTACTACCCTCCTTTAAAAGAAGTGATCAGACAGTGATGAGAAGGACAAAAGGGACCCTTGTAAAGTTGGAACAGGGGAAAACAATTCTTACCAGTTTTGTCCAGATCCTAATTATTAGAACAAAGTTAAAACTTCAGTCTTAAAATCCTTGGAAGTTTTAGCTGAGCATTTTACACACTTAAAGTCTTGCAATGGTGCTTTATGTATCAATGTAGCATATGAAAGGCTTTGTGCAGACAAGTAACATTTCCTTTTTTAAGTGTTGAAATGTGATAACACCATCGCCTCATCTTTAACTTGAAATCAAAACTATCAGATTTTATTTTTTTATAATTTAGGGAAGGTGAAGTTAGGGGACTAGAAGACTTCTAAGTTGGCTTCTTCAGATCCAATGATGTAAATGTAACCAGTTTTTGTTGGGACCTTATAAAATTATATTGTATATATAACTGTTAACCTGTAAATTATAATAAATATATTTGCAATTATTAAATGTTATGTGATATTTTGGTTCAACTTTATATTGTCTTTTACATTGTTGCTGGATTACTGAGCAGGAGTTTCAGAATTAAGTCTGGTGTTTTTGTAGAAGCATTATAAACTTAAAAGTTGCTGCACAGACTTATGTGGTTAAAAAGGTTATGTGACATGGTAATTGCTCTTCGGCTAACTGAAGAGGAGGAAATGGTTAGGGGGGTAAATATAATTGCAAACTACATTTCGGTATTAGATAAAAGAAGTTGGTCCTTAGAGTATGAAATGCCCTTCTTAGAGACTGGGGATTTGATTTCTAAAGCTCGCCCCAGCTATGTACTAATGCTGCAAAGAAAATAGTAAAATAGTATTCACAGAAGCAGTAAATTAATATGCTGGGATTAGCATAGTGTTCTTCCTAAGTAGCAGGGAAGTCTGCTGCTTTATTTTGTGTATTATGATTAATGATAACTGATATTGTCAATCATAATGTTCTCCCATTTACAATATTGAATAAATGTGATGGTAACATCTGAAAAAACAAACTTCTTATCCTGAAGAAAAAAAAAGACATTTGGACTATAGCAAGCCTATTAATGGAATTAATTCTTAATTATACCATTCTTAATTTAGGCATTTGAATCTTGCTAGCTAATGAAAAATTATTAAAGGTGTATTTTTTTTTAAAGGTGTATTCTTACCTGTAAGGAAAGAAAGTAACAGTTGCAGATAAATCTGTTTAGTACAAATTGAATTGACAGCCTACTTTTATTACCATTTTAGGGTTAATTTAAGCATTTTTGGCTGTCTCTCCCCCAGGAAGATGTATGAAAATAGTTATGTTCACATCAAGCCAGGTTTATCATGACTGTCCTGGCATCCCTATGGAGGTGGCGATGTCTGTTGTTAGTAGGAAGTGTAAAGCAGTATTCAGTTGCTGACCTCAGGATTTCTGAGTTACACCCAGAGCTGGACGTTTGTTGATCTCATTTGGAGACTCCTTTGGACCCTCCTTTCTGGACCTTTTAAAAATGAATTTTTTTTTCTCATTTATAAAAATATCTAACAGAGATGTACAAAGACATCCTGGTCATTCTAAAAATGTATGTTGCCCACCATTTTTCTGGAGCTAAGATACCTAATTTCTTTATGTGTGTGAAGAGGTTTTGATACTCTTAACTGATCATGACACAAATATTGGCTATGTGGAATGTTCCTATATTGGAAATTAGGATTTTTATGGACTTAGCTGGATGCTTCGGTCAATATAAAATACCAGTCTTTCTCTCCTTGGATTTGCTCCATTGAGACTAAGTTTTTACTAGTCAAAATGGTTCAGTGGGTAAACAATCCACCTGCAATATAGGAGACCCAGGAGATGCAGGTTTGATCTCTGGATCGGGAAGATGCCCTGGAGGGAGAAACAGCAACCCACTCCAGTGTTCTTGCCTGGGACGTGCCACGGAGCCTGGAGCCCGGCAGGTCGGGTCACAAAGAGTTGGACACAACTCAGCATGTGGCCCATGATTTTAAAATACAAAGGCAGTATGATACCAAGCTCTGCAACTCCAGTGTAGTAAGTAGGATGAATAGATCTAACCCTGCTCACTTTGAGGGTTCATAGATGACCTATACTGCATTCAGTTAATACATATTAGTGACAGGTTTGAGATGAGGGAAGTTAAAGAGACATTATTTTATAGGTGGAATAGAGAACACATGGTGGAGTTTGGGGTTAAGTTATTACTGTGTAACAATTTGAGTCACATCAGTGTTTTCCCATTGACAGACTCAAGCTCATTAGGGAAAGATAGGGGAAATCAGACTTACGGAAATTAGGTTGCTTAACCCAGAAAGAGGATACCCTAGAGATCTAATGGAAATAGTTCTAGAAAGCTGAAAGTGAAAACACTTCGGAACGATTTTTCAGGTTTTGTTCTTTTATTCCATTACCCCTCCCTTTGTCTCAGTACTATCCTTTTCTTCTAGTTTCCTTCTGCCTTTGCTGAACATTTTATTTTTACTACTGTTTTATAGATCTTACCTAGAAGAGGAATGAGCACCTTCACAGCAAAAGAACAGCACAATTGTCAGAGGTGTGTTCATTAGCAATACTATCCATCAAGCTGACACTGCAAATTACCCCACCAAAATGTTAGGTTAATATATACACTGGATTAACTTTTAGAAATATCCCCAAAATGTTCAAGGTCAAAGAGGTGGTAGTAAAACTGGTTTATACTGCTTTGAGGCAAGCCTGTTTTTCTTAATGGGGTTCATGCATTGGCTTTGAAGGCAGAAACCAGAGAGGAGTCCCAAAAGAGTTTTTTAAAAAGTTGATCTGGATATATGTTGTGGAATGGTTGTTTTTATTTTTATTTATTTATTTTGGAACGGTTGTTTTTAAAAACAAATTTCATCATGACAAGACT